CAGAGGTTGAAGTTGTATTTTATTTATGAACGGTTGAGAAAGAAGCTCTTGGGCAGATAGAATTGGCATATGTTTAACACCCTTTCTGGGCATACTGCAGTTAGCCCCAGTTATCAGATGTCCACACTGATTTTCACTTTCATGGACTACTACTATTATTATTATTATTTTATTTTTTATTTTTTAAGCATTTATTTATTTTCAAGAGACAGACCTAGTGCGAGGGGGGAGGTGCAGAGAGAGACGGGGACAGAATCTGAAGCAGGCTCCAGGCTCTGAGCTGTCAGCGCAGGGCTTGAACCAACCAATAGTGAGATCATGACCTGAGCGGAAGTTGGACGCTTAACTGACTGAGCCACCCAGGTGCCTCTAGTATTATTATTATTCTTTTAGAGTTTATTTTATTTTGAGAGTGAAAGAGTACAAGTGGGGGAGGGGCAGAGAGAGGGAGGGAGAGAATCCCAAGCAGGCTTTGTGTTCTCAGTGCAGAGCCTGATGCAGGGCTTGAACTCACAAGTCATGAGATCATGACCTGAGCTGAAATCAAGAGTTGGACACTTAACCACCTGAGCCACCCAGGCACCCCCACTTTCATGAATTATACTTGATTCTATCTGTTTTATACTGCTTCCTAACAAATTCCGACAAATATAGCAGCTTAAAACAATATACATTTATTATCACATGCTTTCTGTGGGTCAGAAATACAGGCACAGTAGCTGGGACTTTTGTGCTGGATCCTTTGTTTGTTTGTTTGGTTGTTTGTTTTTGTGCTGGGTCTTACAAGGCTATTATCAAGGTGTCAGTTAGGGTGTGATCTTATCTGCAAACTCAGCTGAGGAAGAATCTACTTCTGAGTTAATTCAGGATATTGGCAGAAATCACTGTTGTAGATCTGAGGTCTTCAGTTTCATATTGGCTGTTGGCCTCAGCCCCTAGAGGCTGCTCATAGTCCATTGCCACATAGGCTTCTCAACATGGACACTTTCTTCATTACACTGGCAAGGAGATACTGAGAGAGCATCTTACATATCTGTTTGCTAGAAGCAAGTCATATGTCCACCCAATTCAGGGGAAGGGAGTTACATGAACATCAGGAGGTAGGGGTCATTGTGGATCACTTTAGAGTTTGTCTATCACAGTGTCATTCTGAGAAAAAGGGCAAGTTTTTTTTTTTTTTAATTTTAAAAGCTGTGCGATCTGGAAATCTGTTCAAAATTAGCATATGTGCAAGTTAGATTATTAAAGTTTACATTTTTCATACTCTTGTCCTTTGGTAAATGAGGAAAAGAAGTGAAGTTGCAATTTTACTTAATGGAATCTGACAGGAGGGAAGAGAGGGGTTAGCAGGGTTGAAAGAACAATAAAATGAAAAAGAGAATATACCCTATTCTCACACAGAAAAATCCAAGCAATGGATTAAACTATTCCAGTGCGTTCCCTAACTCACTGAGTAAGGTCTGAGGTTTGAGAAAACAGTTTGATAGAAGCCTTCTGAAAGACTAGCATGTATCTTAATGCACTTTATGTAGACATGGGACATTGTATTTTCTGTAATTAAATCAGAAATGTTGCTATGCAGGGTGCCTGGGTGGCTCATTCTGTTAAGTGTCTCACTCTTGATCTCAGCTCAGGTCTTGATCTCAGGGTTGTGAGTTCAAGTGAGCTGGGTGAGAAGCCTACTTAAAAAGAAAAATCTGTTTCAGAAATGTTGCTTTGCATGAAATGGCCAATTTTCTAGTTTATTTTGATGTCCCTGTCTCAGGGCTTGGAAGGTATTGTGGCCTTGATGATTTGTTCTTTGTATTTAAAACATTTGTAAACTATCATGCTTGGGATATAGGTTAGGCTTTAACGTAGTTTATGTACTAAGCCACAAGGGGACTTGAAGGAAACTAAGGAACAAGATTGCAGGTTTCCGTGTGGCCTATGGCTGAATTGATTGTTCCCACGGCACCTACAAAGGCGGAGATCAGAGATTTAGGGTCACATGGTAGACTTGGGGGATTCAATAATTTCTTTGCCTTCAAAATGGCTGCCTTCAAACTCACCCTCCAGTTTATTTCCACTTCCAGCAACTAAACCTCAGTTGAAAGGACCCTTCATTACTTGGTTCTTCATTTATTTTGTAGGGCATCCACGTGTCGCATAGGACAAAATCACGGTGCAGGTGATTTACTTCCTGGGCTGTGGTCTGTACCCCAGTGGTCGGCACATAGAAGGGAGTGCACATTAAGTGCTGGTGAACTGCTGCCAGCACTACTTTTACACAAATACATTCCACTGAGTTTCCTCTGCTTTCTACAACTGGACCGGTATAAGGCGTCACATCACAAAAGGAAGAGTAACATAAGACATAACTAACAACAGCAACAATACATATTATCCGCTGAGGTTTGCTGTGTTAGGCACTTTATCTAGACTAACACATTTAATCCTCACAACAACCCTGTAACAAGCTAGATATTATTCTTATTGTATGGACAATGAAACAGCCTCAAAAGTAAAGATTTGTGCTTGCGTTGAGATAAATGTTCCTTTATTTACTAAGAAAAGTGAGCAAACCAGAGTCTCCTATTCCGTAAGTATCCTTTTAGTTAGGCTGTATTGTACATCTACTCATTGCATACATTTGTTAGTGAGAAGTCCTCCCTAAATAATTTTGGAGACCAAATGGCAGCGCACACCCTTACGTTTGAGAAATATAATTTGGACCCATTCTAATTTGTCTTCTCTGAGAATAGCCATTTGCTATCCATCAGTCAGTATTCCGTGTATTTGTATGGCAGGCACTATAGAAAGTAGTTTCACACATTTAGCAGGAATTCCCCACTGGTGCCTCAGCAGACATGTGCAAGTCTGTGGCTCCTGTGCTGCCTTTCCCTGTCCTTCCAGGGGCATGCACCTGCCAGCCCCTGAGCTGCAGTACTCCATGCAGAATGCCCTACAGCTCTACCTCTCACTGTCTCTTCACCCCTGCAGCCACAGGCAACATATGGATAACTCCTGATTTATCTTACAAGTCTCAGACAGGAATATTTTTCTTGGCAGAAATTTTTCTTGATCTCTTAGCCCCTTTTCTAATCTGATGTTTGTGTATCCATTTCTCATTTCTTTGATATTTGTGTATCCATTTCCTTGCCTCCTTCACCCGTTGGATTGTGAGCCCATTGGCGGCAGGGGCAGTGCTCCCCAGCATCTGGCCCCGGGGAGGCATCCAGTGAGTCTGTGCTGAAGTTAGGAGGGAATGCACATTTCATCAGAGCCTCAGAGCAGCCCTCGGAGGGTGTGGGACCTTCCGAGGGCCACCACATCACAGTGGATTTCACATTTACAGACCAAGTCTCCTACCCTGGTGTCTTTCCCAAGGATAATGGTTTTACCTAAAATCTCTTCAATTTTTTTTCATCCAGCCTAAGTAAACTTCGTTTCTTTAGCTTTTCTTCCTAGGGACTTTATTTCTAACATAAGTGGTTGTGATTGTTATTTTATAACTTTTCCAAGTTTTTCTATTTCACTTGCCATATTTTAGGAAGGCAGTAAAAGGGACACAGGATAAAACAGACCCAGAATTTTGGGTGTTACAGACTTTATCACACTGCTTATTCAGTTCTTTCTAGTCAGTACCTCCAAGTCTTTGATGCTGCCTTAGCCTTTTCACTCCCGCCTGGGCTTCTCTGTGTGAAGTGAAGTATGTCTGAGGAGACAAACATAGGGTTGTGTGTTCACTCTGTTTTGCAGAAGGTCTTTTCCAGGAGCGTGGTTTGGGGATTGCTCATGCTCTGAAGAATCTCAGGAAAGGCTATTAATGTCCCGAGAGACAGAAATGTGGTTGGCTCCATTCTACAGGATTCCCGAGTAAGCGCTGCTCACAGGAGTGATCCTTTGCTTCTCATAGTTGACCTATTATCTCTTCTCTTCTGTGATCCAGAGAGGTCATTTAATTTTCTTTAAAAAAAGGTTTTTTTAAAGATTTTTTTAACATTTATTTATTTTTGAGAGACAGAACGTGTGCATAGGGGAGGGGCAGAGAGAGAGGGAGACACAGAATCTGAAGCAGGCTCCAGGCTCCGACCTGTCAGCACAGATGTGGGGCTCAAACTCATGAGCCATGAGATCATGACCTTAGCTGAAGTTGAACGCTTAATCGACTGAGCTCCCAGGCACCCCAATTTTTTTTTTAATTAAGTAATATCTTTGCTCAATGTGGGGCTCAAACTCACAACCTGGAGATCAAGAGTCTCATGCTCTACCCACTGAGCCAGCCAGGCGCCCCTAGGTCATTTAATTTTCAATCCATGAACCCATCCTTCCTACCTTATTTCTTCTCAGGGCCATGCTTCATTCCTTCCCATTTGCTCATTAATTAAATAAGAAGACCGTACTGAGTTGAAGTTCAGCATCATCAGAACGCTCCACGATTCAGTTCCTGAGGTGCTGCCCCTGAGTAACTCATGTGGTGTTTCTGAGCAGTGACCTGTTGGGAGTGTTCTGCTGGATCAGATGAAAAGCCTTCTGATTTATTAATTGTTGTCTCTGGGTTGAAATAAGACATTACTGAAATTATATGAATCTATTCTTCACAAAGCTAGAAGTCTGTTTGTTTTTGAATTTGTTTTGCTTAGCCCCAGCTGGTATGGAGGAGACAGTGATGTGTCTGTAAATTTCAGGAGAATCCCATTTACGTTTCAAAGAATAAACTCCACAGTTTTCTGCTCCAGTTTTTAGGTACTTTATCAGGCCCTCATACGTCTTAAAAAATAATTGCTAGTGGCCATCATTGCTGATGAAACTAGGCAAGGTATTCCTTGTTTTAAGATGGTCTGGTCTGCAGTGTGCAGCCCTTCTAGATTAACGAGGGAATCTTCAACTAGACTCTCCTCTCTGTGTGCCTACCTGCCTTCCCCCCCACCCCTGGTGCTGCAAACACCAGTAATAAGATTACAGGGAACTTATCTTTAAAGGTCAGAGGTAAAAATAAATACAGTATTAAAAGCATCCATCTTTTAGTATCATTTATTTAGAGTTCTTCTCCTTTTACAATGAAAGGCTTTCCATTTGCTCTTTTGTTCTTTCATACTTGTCAGCAATATCTGCCTGCCCTTGTGATGCCGCGAGTCAGAGCTTGGGAGGCAGGACTGCTGGTGTTCAGGGCTTTCCTCGTATCCAGCTGTGAAATAACATGAATAAGAATATTGACCTCATGGAGCTGAAATGAGAATTAAACTCTCTAATATGTGAAAGTGCTTTGTTACTAACTTTAAAAAGTGTTGATATTTGTGCCCAGAATTGCCAAGTGCCAGGTCTTAGTGATTTGAGCGAGGATGTTCAATAAGACTATGAGGTTACTAGATTCTTAAATGAGCACCTCCCGCTCTCTTAAGTGAGCACCTCTCCTTCTCTCACTTCTCTATGTGTGTCTCTTCCTTTTAATGACTTCATTATCTTTCCCTACTCTAGTAGCTTTCTACAACTGGATATAACAGAGAAGTACCTTTTAATTATTAATCACTGCTGCTATATAATCTTAAGTAAAACCAAATGGGGACAGTGTTTAGTTTAATCTCTTTAGAAAACTCATGTATTGTTTTTTTTTTTACACTGATCAGTTAGCTATTGAGTCTTTTGCCCACAGTGGATTCAGTGTTTTCAGTAGAAAATCTTTACAACAGGGCTACTAAAGCACTTCTAATTCAGGAACATCTTTTCTCTTTCTTGAAGAAATGGATTTCATAGAATTTTATACTCACTTTGTCCCTGGAAACCTACTGAAAAGTATATCATGGAGATATGAGAGTTCATCGCTATAAAATAAAGCAAATACTATGTTTTGGTGACTTTTTAACAAATAATGGGGAGGGGCTGCCTGGGTGGTTCAGTTGGTTGAGTGTCCGACTCTTGATTTTGGCTCAGGTCATGATCTCAGGTTCATGGGATTGAGCCTTGCGTCAGGCTGTATGCTGAGTTTAGAGCCTGCTCAAGATTCGCTTTCTTTCCGTTTGCTCCTCTCTCATGTGTGCACATTCTCTGAATGAATGAATGAATGAATGAATGAGTAAATGGATGGGAATGTGGGGTCATTATAGTGTAAGGATGGAAATTTTGAGAATTTTAGACACTTCAGAATTCGACCTGGTTTAATTTTTTTCTTTTAAAAAATCTTCCTTTTTCCACTAATGTGCTCAGGAAGGGACAAATCTCTATGTCTTTGGGTTTTTTAATGGCTAAGCAAACCCACCCTTAACTCAGCTGTAGCCCTACAGCCCCAGACTGATTGCTTCTTCTGTGCCTTTCTCTATTTCTCCAAAAGAATCCTCTTAGTCAAATCGTGACTATCAACTGAGCACATTATGTTAGTTCAGACTCTTGAGATTACAACTGACAGCCCACAAGTCAAACAAAAAAATTCATTTAAGAGGAAGCACCGGGAAGGATGGTTGGTAGTCAAGAAGGATGGAATTGGTGCATCCTTCTACATCTGTTTCTCTGTAAAGGGTTGACAGTTCAAGCTCCTAACTTCCTCAGCCTGTGCAACCATTTGGAAAGGCTGTGATATTTTCTCAGCACCTCCAAGCAAGCCCCTTCCTCTGCTGACATTGCCCTTCTATCCCTCCTCCTTCCTGCTCTGGTCTAGTTAACTCCCGATTATTCTCCTGCACAACCTTTCCAACCCCCAGCGCAAAGTGCATCCCTTTTCTGTGTTTTCATAACATCTTGTGCTCAGGATTTCACTGTGTACTTGGTAATTGCTTGGTTACTTGTTCGTTTCTCACCTAGACTGTGGCCTTCTAGAGGGTCAGAAATGTATCTCATTCATGCTTCCATTCCTTGTCCGTAGTTTCATTCATAAACAGAGAGAAGTATTTGTTGAATGAGTGAACATGGGATCGTGTTCATGTTGGTGACTTTGCCTTGTGGGCAAATGTGGGCCTTGTTGGCAAATGCCAAAGCCTTTTCCCCTAATGATATCAAAGTCCTATTTCTAATATCCTTCGTTCTAAAATCAGGCCAATGCGATCCCCTTCAACAATAGGTTCAGTAAAGAATGTGAATATGAAGGGGCGCCTGGGTGGCGCAGTCGGTTAAGCGTCCGACTTCAGCCAGGTCACGATCTTGCGGTCCGTGAGTTCGAGCCCCGCGTCAGGCTCTGGGCTGATGGCTCGGAGCCTGGAGCCTGTTTCCGATTCTGTGTCTCCCTCTCTCTCTGCCCCTCCCCCGTTCATGTTCTGTCTCTCTCTGTCCCAAAAATAAATAAACGTTGAAAAAAAAAAAAAAGAATGTGAATATGCATGCAAAAAGCTCTTTAGGTCAGTTGTTTTTTTGGTAATAATCAAAGTTTCATGCAATATCTCAATAGAAATGATAATGAAATGTGGAAGTGAACCTTATTAAGTCGGCAGCCAGATCAACAATATAGTTCATATGAACAGAGTGGCAGAAATTGGTCAGGAAGGTACCCGACTACACATTTTTAGTGACTTATTTTTTATCTTTCTTTTTATTGATCCAATTATTTTGATGAGTAGTCTAACAGCCTTTTTAAGTTAGGTGAAAAAACTTTTGCTAATTCATGCTAACTTTGTCAATTTGTCCTTCCTTCTTAGGAATAACAATAGTCTTAAAATCTTTAATAACTGCCAATATACTGTTGACCCTTGAACAACACGGGGTTGAACCTCCCAGGTCTACTTACATGTGGATTTTTTCTGATAAATGTGTATAGCACTGTAAATGTAATTTTTTTCCTTATGGTTTTCTTAACATTTCCTTTTCTCTAGCTTATTTTATTATAAGAACACAGTATATAATACATATGACCTACAAAATGTGTGTTAATTGTGCATGTTATTGCTAAGGCTTTGGTCAGTAGTAGACTATTGGTAGAGTTTTGGGGGTAGTCAAAAGTTATATTCAGATTTTTAATGTGTAGGGGGTTTGTGCCCCTAAGACCCCATATCAGTCAAGGATCAACTGTATTTATTTTCCATTTGTTCTAGGTTGAAATATTCCTTGTTGGTTCATCAAGAACTCTAATGTGTGGGTCTCATGAAACATATAAGGATCTTTTCTTTCTGACTGACAGTCTAGTAACCAACTTTTTAAAAATATGTTTATTTATTTATTTTGAGGGAGAGAGCATACACGAGCTGGGGAGGGGCAGAGAGAGAGAGAGAGAGAGAGAGAGAGAGAGAGAGAAAGAAAGAAAGAGAATCCCAAGCAGGCTGTACACTAGCCGCACAGAGCCCGATCTCAAAAACTGTGAGATCGTGACCTGAGCCAAAATCAAGAGTTAGACGCTTAACTGACTGAGCCCCTCAGGCGCCCCCTGGTAACCAGCTTTGATTTGACTCCTCAGTGGTTATGAGTCCATGAAAACCATTCCCAAGGATAGTTTTGGGAGGCAGAAACTAAAAAGCTGCTCTTTTCTCTTGTATGTAGCTTTTTTCTTTCAGGAACTATACCTTGACACCTAGCATTCTGGCCTTTGTAATGCTGAACCATTTTAATAGGACTTTGTTATGATTCTAAGAATTTTTGTCATCAGAAACAAATGATTTCACCACAAAAGCAAAATGGAAGTCTGTTTTATTGACATACTTATGCATTCCTTATTTTTTTCCCTCTCTTTTTTTTTTTTTAGTGAGCATGTTTTTGAACACATTAACACCGAAGTTCTACGTGGCCCTGACAGGCACTTCCTCACTAATATCAGGGCTCATTTTGGTAAGTAGTAGAATCCTTCCTATTTAAAAGCATGCTGATTACTTGTATGTTAGTATATGTACAGGCAAAAATTCTGGAAGAATACATACCTGCAACTTACAGTGATTATCTTGTATGTGTGTTTATGTTGTGTAGTTGGACTTATAGAGGCCTTTTACTACCCACATTACATATTTCTAAAATATTTAAAAGAAAATTTTAATAGTCCTGTATTGCTTTTGTTGAAGGGGAAAAACAAAATATAAATATAATGGAAATTAAAGGAAGACAATTCTGTGTCAAATTCTAGTATCTGAGATACTATAAAATACACGTGACTCAGTTCAACGAACAATGTTTTTCATCATTCTTTTCAAAATGGATTATTGGCCATACTCAAAATCAGTAGAAATAGAGCCCAGTTTTTTAAAAAATGGATTGAAGTAGATGTGGCAGTTATCAGCTTTTTTCCCTTTATCAAAAGTTACATTTCCCTATTTCTTCCTTTCAAAAATTCCAGTAGGCAAAAGCAATGATAATCATTTCTTTGGTTCCATTAGTTTATGCTAGAATATTTTAGAATTTTTTTTGTCTACATATAATGTTGTGATTACTAATTTTTATGGAGACAAGAACAAGAAAGATACTACAGTGTGGATGTTAAGATCACTAAGAAAACATAAGTTTTAGGAGAGAAGGGCACAAAAATGTGGAACAAATAAATGCATAGGTGAACCTAGAACAGTAGAAGGTTTCAGAAGCTTGAGCTTACAGGGAGCCAGCAATATATGCAAATATATGCAAAAAGGTAGAGCAATATATGCAGGGCAGAAACCTGCCAAGAGCTTAAAGAGATGGTGGTGGTATGGGGAATTTTTTTGTGATCAGAGCATATTCAGGTTACTCTTGCTCTGCTGTATCACATGGGTTGTCTGGACTCGAGGGATGAGATGCTTCAAGTTGATATTACTGGACCAGGAATGTAAAGGACACCAGCAGTTGCTGCTCCAACATGGTTATATAAGTGGAAGTCCACACAGAAAGCCCAGTGCTGACTGCAGAGAGCAAGCAAGCCAAGGTGAAGGGAGGCATATTAAAACTTCTCTTCGAACTGGTTTGAAATAAGGTGTGAATAGTAATTTGTACCCTATTACCTCTTAAATGCAGGTCTGCACACCTATCTGTGTCTCTGAGGTCTTCTCTGTTCCTTGGGGACATGAGAAAAACAGACACTCTAGAGAATTGTTCTTAAAGCTGTAAGGTGATTTACTTAACTCATGTTAGTTTGTGGCAAAGCCAGGTCTAGAAACTGTGTCCTCAGATTCCCACCTTGATGTTCTTAATGGACTGAAGAAACCTCAAACTTGGAAAATGCTTTCAAATGCTTGATAAATGATTAATAAGTATGTGCTGAAAACATGGCAACCCTTTATCATGTATATTTTTGGGGGGGAGAGGAGAAGTATTATAAGTCTTCATCTAACAATTATTTACATTTAAAATAATATTTTAATATTTTCTTTCTAAAATAGCTTTGAAGTATTTTTTGTTTAAACAGAAAAATGTGAACTTTTAGATACAGTTTGAAGAGCAGTTTCATGCTGAAACCAATAATTCACTCTGATGCACAAAGTAGGTTTTTGTTTGTGTATTCCTCTCCCAGGGATGTTTGCTTAAGAATGTTACCCACTTAGGTGGTGCTTCCTGTGTGCCAGGCACTGATCTAAGCACATACGTGCTAATTCATTTGCTCTTCGCAACTGTATGAGGAGGAGATTGCTCCTGTTGTTTCCATTTTACTAATGTGTAGGCCGAAGAGGTAGAACAGGCAAGTCAGCAACCTGCCTTAGGTCACATCGCTGACAAATAGTGAAGAGCAGGATCTCAGCCCAGGCAGTCTGTCACTCATTTCACCACCTTCTGGTTAGGTTCTCAGCTGTTTTTCTAGCTCGCTGAACAAACAGCAGGTCTGGATTGGGCTACAAACTGATTGCCAGAGTGTGGGTTATCCCCTTTCACTCTGGTAAGCAGGGCCTAAGCAGTCAAACTTTTTAACTCCGGGAGGTGAAGTCCCGTCAGCTTACTTTTACAAGTAAAGGGATTTCTGTAGACTGTGACCACCTTTGCAGGTCCAGGCTGGCGAGGCTTTCTCCCGGTGTGTGGAGCGCAGCTGCTGAAACCTGACAATCACTGCTGCACCATCTCAGGGTGTATTTGTCTTGCAGCATTCTCAGGAGGCACAGGATATGTCCGACTGATGTGAAACTGAGCACTGGAAACCTCTGATGTTTGAAGATTTTGAAAGGCCTTTCTCAAAAATGTTTGTTCTGAGGGCAAAGTCACTACAATGTGGAAATAGCTCTTGATAGCTTTAGGCTCCTGCTTTAGAGATTATTGGCATCAGTGTTATCCTGCCTTTGGGGACTCAGCTTTGCTAGTCCTTGAAATGTACCCAGGGTTGAGGTTCCTATTCAACCACTATTTTCTGCCAAGTGTGTTCATGGAGAGGCAGCATTGAGGTAAAGGATCAGGTGCTTAGCGGTTTGTTTCCTGGCAAGGAGAGACAATTACCTAATGACTTTCCCCTGAACAATGGAAGGAGAGCCAGGCAGTGAACGCTGAAAGTACAGGTATGCCCCTGGGGACATGGTTGTTTGGGGACCTCAGGATTCCTATGCTGGAGACTGAAACTGTCATGCAGTGTGATGTCTTAGGAGGAGAGGGGTAAATACAAACAAAAATACCCTGAAAAAGTCATGTAACTGAACAGATATACACAAAAATAAAATGTGTTTGGCAAATGCTGCTGCCTTTTACACTAATGTGTTTAAAAAATAAATGAGGACCAATCAGTGTGTATTTTTCTAGGTATCACTGCTAGTTCTTAATTTCACAGGTTGAAAGCCCACAATGAGTTTGTTATGCCACCTACCTCTCACTCTTCCCTTCTGGTCTCATGCCCATATACCCATCCGGCCAGCTCTCTCCCTTGCTGAACTCCAAGCGGCCTCTCTGCCGTCTTGGCACAAGCCTTCCCATCTCAGTCCAGTTCCAGCCACAGGAACTGCACCTGTCATCACAGTCCAAGCCCACCAGTTTAGTCTTTTAGTTGTTCTCGCCAGGACCTGCCCAGTCTGCTTGAAGTAGCCTCTCTGGGAAATGTTTATTTCAATGGAGAAAATTTCTGGGTTTTATTTTTGTTTTTCAGAGTGGTAAGATGGTTATGTGGAGAAAATGCTTCCTTTAATTTTCTTAAAATGTTGGTAGAATGGAGAAAATGCTCTATGTTGTATTGACATTTATACGTAGATCCCTGTGTCCCCATTAACATGAATATAGACATGCTCTTATACCTACATTCTACACATATATATTAAATTGCTATAAAAAGAGGCCATCCAGGGCATAATTTTAAAAAGTGAGAATCAAGAACTAACAGGGGAGGAAATTAGAATAGTAAATAAAAGACTTAGCTCATAGATTACATGTAAAAAAACTATGTTTTTGGGAAAGTATAGAAGAGATGATAATTAGGTAGGAATAAATTATATCAAAGATCCATTTATTGAGTTATCCCTCTATGCCCGGTATTAAGCACTTTGCATATTTTACTTCATTTAATTCTCATTGAAATTCTAAGTGGTAGATATAACAGTGGCTTTATGCTGTTGAGTATAAGCAGACACAAATGTTAAATAATTTGACCAAGGTTTTGTAGCAGACAAATGATAAAATTTGAATCCTGATCTCTCTGACACTGTCCTCCATCCTCAAAAGTGAGGGAGTGGGACTAGGAGATAGTTATGGCTTTCAACTTTTCCTTGTCTAAAGAACTTGACCTGCACTTGAGATAGCATTTTATTAAATTTTTTTTTCAACGTTTATTTATTTTTGGGACAGAGAGAGACAGAGCATGAACGGGAGAGGGGCAGAGAGAGAGGGAGACACAGAATCGGAAACAGGCTCCAGGCTCTGAGCCATCAGCCCAGAGCCTGACGTGGGGCTTGAACTCACGGACTGCGAGATCGTGACCTGGCTGAAGTCGGACGCTTAACCAACTGCGCCACCCAGGCGCCCCTGAGATAGCATTTTAATTGACAGGCATATGAATCACCCACATGATGGTGATTCCGAAGCTAAGAGTAAAAAAAAAGGCTTGGGGAAACTTGATTGGAAGGGCTCTTGGGATGTGGGAAACTACATATAAATGTCAGGCTGTGTTAATTATGAAGAAAGTTGTCCCTTGGCTGTAGTATAAAGAATGAGAGATGCTGTGGGGCCATATCATTGCCAAGTCTGCAGATAATGGTAGAAAACTGAGGCTCATTCAGCTTTATCAGATTACAGATTCTTGGGGTCACCATAAAAATTAATGCTTTTCCACAGGAGACCAAGTAAAGCGCCAGGCTAAAGAGTAGACATATGCCTGTCAGGGTCTGACTGTGGACAGGAGTATTTGAGTGGATAGGATTAATGATTAGACATGGCAGAAGTGAAGAAGGAGAACAAGCTGATGGCAGATAAAGGGACAAACTGTCCTTTTGGCTTTATCAGTTTATGTTTGAGCACATATTGAGAGGCTTGAAAATCATGCAGTTGCAGGGCTCAGGGAAGGAACTCACAGAAGCCATCCAATCTAGGTTTTTGATTTTGTTTTTGTTTTGTTTTTGCCGCTATTGCTCCATTTAAATGTCAAATGTCCACACTTAAACATCAAGTTAAACATCAGGCATCAGGGGCACCTGGGTGGCTCAGTCGGTTGAGTGTCCAGCTCAGGTCATGATCTCACAGTTTTGAGTTCGAGTCCCACATGGGGTTCTGCACTGACTGCTTGGAATTCTTTCTCTCCCTCTCTCTCTCTCTCTCTCTCTCTCTCTGTCCCCTCCCGTTTGCTTGCGTGTGCACGTGTGCACACACACACGCGCACACACACACACACACACACACACTCTCTCTCTCTCTCTCAAAATAAATAAACCTAAAAAACAAAACAAAACATCAAACATCAACACATAAGCATTGCATATGCCCAGTGTTTCACAAAGTCACTCATGAATTATCACCTTTGACTTCTGTCTGCTGCTCATCACTTTTTTTTCTTTTCAGGATTTTATTTAAAATCAAGTTAGTTAACATACAGTTAACTTTATTTGCTTTCAGGAGTAGCATTTAGTGATTCATCACTTACTTACATCACCCAGTGCTCATCACAAGTACTCTCCCTAATACCCATCATACATTTAGTCCATCCCCCCCACCTTCCCTCCAGCAACCCTCAATTTGTTCTCTATAGTTAAGAGTTTTTTGTGGTTTGCCTCCCTCTCTGTTTTTATCTTATTTTATTTTTCCTTCCTTTCCCCTGTGTTCAGCTGTTTTGTTTCTTAAATTCCACATATGAGTGAAATCATATGGTATTTGTCTTTCTCTGATTGACTTATTTTACTTAGCATAATAGAGTCTAGTTCCATCCATGTTCTTGCAGGTAGAAGCCATCCAGTTTAAACCAGTAAAGACTTATAGACTAGGCATCCAGAAAGCTTATGACTTGTTCAGGTCACTTTGCTACATAAGGGTGGAGTGAGGACTAGAATTTAAATTTGCACTGCTTTGCCATAATACTAGTCTGCCTCTCATAAAGGTGTTGATTAAGAAGGTGGATAACAGTAGTATCTAACAGTTGATGTTTTCATTTTAACAGAGCCACAGAAATGGGTCAGGTAGATAAGAAAGGAAGGAGAGAAGGAAAAGAAAAGAATAAGGAAAAAGAAGAGAAAAGAAAGAGAGAAGGAGGGAGACTACAATCTTCTCTGGAGGAGATATTATTTTCTTTATCCAGTTGGCTGTGGGTTGGGTCATATTTAGCCAGTCTGGAATAGGGACCAGCCTTTACCACAGTTTATAATGATACTTTATGTGTCATCATTTATTGCTTTTGTCCTCTCTATAATGGAAGCTTCACAAAGACTGGGACCCTATCTGTGGTTTTGTTTGTCTGTTTGTTTTGTTTTTATATCTCTGTTTTGGTAAATATAATGCCTGGGTAGATTGTTATAAAATATTTGTTAAAAGCACAGAGTTCCAGTGCAAGGCTGAATTAACTGATTGTGTCAGAATTATCTGGGGAACTTGTTTAAAGTGATGGATCTGACCACCACTCCAGACCAATTGAATCAGAATCTCTAGAAGGGCCTTGAGAATAGCTGCCATCACAGTATGACCTGGCAGGGCCTGAGGCACATGGTGCAGGATGGCTTCTACCAAGGTCGGTAGTCTTCATGACTTTACCTCAGGAGAGTGACCCTCCCCTCTAATGTCTAACAGACATGGAGGTGGGGATGGATCATTGACTGTTGACCTTGAAAAGAACCTCACTTCTCTGTCTTCTCTCTTTTCTTAAAGCCTTGGTGATCAGTGGCCAGGAAGTGGGGGGTCGAAGGGCATGAACACCAGTTCTTCACACAGCCCCTCTCAGCTGTTTTGGGGAATAGTAACTGAGGAGGGATTGGCTGAGACCAAGGAAGTGGGAAGCTAAGACCCATTCCATAGCACATCAGTATTCCTAAACAGAACATAACAGGAGCCAAAAGGGGAAAAAAAGTCTGTCATGTGGAAATGAGGGGTACTCTGAAAGGGTTAGTGGGTACAGAGAAAAGGATATATTTGAGAAACGAAAAGATTATGTATATTATATAATCCATGCCCACTGCCTTGATTTATCTTGTTTAAGCCCTGAAGATCCCCCTTTGCCAAAAAACTGTTCACCATCAGATATGTTTCTGAACACTTACAGCAGGTGTCAATTTTGCAGTCTTTCCATTTGGGAGTAGGCTGCGGGAAAGTTTCAGATTTCCTCTTTAATCTCCATCATCTCTGTATCTATTCTCCTGTGATATCATTACCTACTTTAATCCTTAAGAAGCACTTAGCCAATTTCAGCCTGAGACATCGTTATATTTCCTGTGGGTTAATGGAATTGGTGTGGAATTACTAAGGTGCTGCTCTATGGGAATCTTGAAGCATTTTTAAGTGTGGTGTAGGGTGTAGGGAAGTCCCTGATTCACAAGGAGAAGTATTTCATATAGAGAGCATGCAGTTCAAGAAGACAGCTTATTGGCTCCGAAGAACCTAGGCATCTTCAGGAAACACTCAGCTTTTTAGGTTTGCAAGATAGACAGAAGGGTCTTGTTTGATTGTCCCTGTGCCAGATTTTTGTTGCTTCCCTGTGGGAGAAAATGCAACAAGTTTGTACCATAGGTCAGCGCCAAACTGGAATCTCCAGCCCTAGTCCCAGTGCTTTTTGGTCATCCTCTCTGCTTCTGCCAAACAGTAAGGAGGAGGCCACAAGACATTGGTAACTGGGTCCTTCACAAATGGGTCTTTATTTTAAATATGATCTGGGTCCCAAGTATAGCTTTTGGCACTTCTGTCCTGCAGAGTTTGGATCCAAGCCCCTGAGACCACTCTCACATTCACAGTGGCATCCCGCCTTCCTTATTCTCAGAAGACAAACCTTACCTGCATCTGCAGTGAGATCAGTGTCACCCACTTTATCCCTTTGTTACCTTCTGACATGTGAAACAGCTCACATTACACCCCACTTTTCAAAGTAGAATGTTCCCCTCCATGCATGCATCTTTCCTTTTCTTCCTGTCTCAGAGCAAGAAATGATAGGTTGCCTTTTGAAGGCAGGGTGTATGTGCTTTCTGGGCTCCTGGTATCATGCCTTTTGGTCATTTGTACTCTTTTGCATCTTTTAGTGTCTGTCTTTTCACTAGATTCTTTACTCTTCCACAAATATGGATAAGTTTATCTTTTTTTATAACAAACAAAAAGAACACAAAAACTTTCATTGGTCTTGCTGTTGATTTAGACTATCTCTCATTAAATCACCAGGCGAGCCCTTATCATCCATCCATTTAAGTGTCCACCTGTCCATTCATCCATCCAGTGAACATTTATCTGTGTATCCATCCAACATTAACTGAGTGCTTACTGTGACCTTATTATACACATTAGGTAACTGAGCCCCAGAGAATCAAGAGAACCAAACAAAGTCACTTAACTTGCCATCATGAAGTGTATTTACGTTTTGAACTTTTAGCTAGATGGGAGGGCTACTTTTGATTTAAATGCCCAATTCAGTTGATGCTTTTTAGTTCTCATCTTACTTGATCTGTAAAATCTTTGGGGTGAAGCATGAGTTGGGAAAAAGCACTAGAGGGATTATATTTTTGAGACTATGAAATGGTAAATTTATATTTTAATTTTATAGTTATCAGATTAAAACCAGTTTTATTCCACTGTGACAAGCCCACTAAGCTTAAGCTTAAGCCCACTAATTTTACAATCTAACTTTGTTTATAAGGGCTCTGCTGTTTACATTGTAGGTTATGCACCAGAGAGAAGTATTCAAAGTGACACCAGATATGTGTGTGTTAAATAACACCATCTGCCCATTTGGATCTGTGCAGCTATTTAAAAATACTGTGGGGTGCTGGCCCAAAGCCTGTCATGTTTTGGGATAAGGGCAGATTATTATGCTAGCCCCAGATTAGAAGACTTGGTTTGAAGTTCATGGCTGCAAGTCCTTTCCTACTTCTTTTTACTAGTTGTTCCTTGAATACATATTAGAGTCTCTGCCTAGGGTACTAGGCACTCTAATATGGTATAAAGAAAGATCGTGATAGGTAAGAAGCCATCTACTGCTGTGATACAACAGACCTGAGCAGACCCTCTTTTTCTCTCCAAACAGCTGCATGAATAACCCAGTCTTTACTGAGATCTGTTATTCCTGCATTAGAAATACTGGGTGGAAGGTCTGTCTCCTATTATAATGGAAATACCTCACCAATATGAATCACTTATACCTTAGGATGAATGTCCTGTTTGATAGACTACTTCTGTATTGATTCTAATAGCTAAGAAAGCAAAGGGACAGTAGAGTCAGAGGCATTGGGAAATTAAGATTTGGAAAGGGAAATGATTAGGCTACATCTGTGTTTCGATGCACACTAGAGTTAGAAAAAGGTGTCTTGTTACAGGGCCCTGGTGAGATTAGGGGTACAGAGCTGGGGCTTCAGTCTAAACAGGTACTTAATTTGCTGTGTGACTTTGGTCATTCCTCATTCTTCATCTGTAAATAGAGACTGTACGTGATCCTTTAGTGTCCCTTTTAGTGCTGACATTCTGTGATTCTCCTGGAGAAACTGAGAAATCTAGAGTTCCAAGGTATTTTTTTTTTTTTTTTGTCTTGTTTTTGTGATGGGTATGGGCTATGTCAGGAGCAACCTGTGAGAAGCATTGTGATCTGTGGCATGGACTGGTAGTATCAGGGGCCACATCTGCATTATGTAACCCTGGAGCACAGCCTGTGCCTGGTGTGGAGCACTTCCTGCTATGTGACTGAATCAATGAACTAAGGCCTGGCAAGTGCCCAGGCAGCATAATATAGAAAGCAGAGCAAAGGCTTAGGGCAACGAAAGCTCTCCCCCACAGTGACTGAGAGCCATTGCCAGTTCTGTGCCCAGTGTTCTGGGTCCTTTGGAGCTTGTCTTCTCTTCTATTAAAGGCAAAGCCACGAATCTCTTGAGGGCTTTGTCTGGGGGTCAGGACTGAATGGTGAACAGTACCCTTTTTTCACAATGATTTCTAGGGCTTTCAGCCAACAACTTAGCAACAGACAAGAAGATGCTGTACTAGCCTGAATCACAGATAAGTGAAAGACGAGTGCACCAGCATGTCAGGTATGCTGTGCGTGGGAGGCATGTACATCATCAATATAATAAATGGTAGCTTTGCTATTACTTTTGAGAACCACACATGCAACGGGCGCTGAGCTAGTTTCTTTTACATGGGGTTTGAAACTAGATGTTTTACCTGGGTGTAAAAATTGAGGAACCTTGAAAATGAATAATGAATATGATTTCCACTTTATAATAGAAGAAACTGATGTTCAAATAGATAAAATAACTTGCCTAAGGTTACAAACTCTCTGGACTCATGGTTTGTAAATTTACTATTCTTGAACTTTCTTCCTTCGTTAAGCAAGATCTCTTATTGTTAGCATTCCAAGTGTTATAGACTAGTCCTGTCCCTTCTTAGTTTTCATATCATAGTCTCCCCTGTCTGCCAGGTGAAATTACTTGAATGTCTTCACATGTGAAAATTCACATAGTCAGATGGGTAACTTTTTGGAATTAAATTAAACTCATGTTCTAGAATTGGAAACATTTGATTTGACTGATAGCTCCTTCTGATAATTCGTAGGTATTTTTTCTGCCTTAAAAGAGAGAGAGTGTGTGTGTGTGTGTGTGTGTGTGCGCGCGCGCGTGTGTGTGTGTGTGTGTTTAGTAGAGCAAATGAAAGACAACACTGATTTTTAAATAATAGCCCAAAGCCCATTCCAGAGTCGATAACAAAATCTTGTTCTTATGAAATAAGTAAGGATAAAGGTGATTAATTCTATGTTAGTTCCACATTCTGCATTATAAGAATATGGTATAGTTAACCCTGTGAGACTCTGGATATAGCTGATTCTTAAATTTCTTCTGTGTGATGATTTGTGGCTGCTTAAGGCACAAATCCCAAATCAGACAGGGAGGAGAGGAAAAGATGTGGGAGAGAGCAGCTTTGAATCATGGTGGGAGTGTTCACTGGAGGGACCAAGGGGCAGGGAAGCAGGCTTGGGGGGTGTCACTTGCTTTCCCAGTGCTTATAAGTCCTGATTGCAGCCTAGTCATATGAGTGTTATTGCTTCTTTCCTTTTATTAATGAAAATTATTTCTTTTCTCCTTTGCAATTCATGGTACGTAATAATTGGTAAGCTGGTGAACTAGGAAACATTAATAGTGTTCAACAGATGCTTGTGCTTGTAAAGCACTTCTTAGCAAGGGGACATTGCAGAGTATCTCAGTAATTGAGTACCACCCATACAAGAAGTGGGACGCCTTTCATTCCTTCTGTAAAACCAGCATTTCTCTAAGGAAATGCTTATTTTTAAAATACAAATAAAGTTTTGCTATCAAAATTTTTTGCAGGTATGGCTTTATCAGAATGTAAGGTGCCAAGAATTGGAATATTTCATAAACCGTATTTCTAAAACTTGCTTATTTGTATACATTTCTGGAGTTGTCTTTAGCTATGATGATTTTGTTATTAGAATATTCTGTAAATTTGGAGGAAAATAATATTGAGCAGCTCTTAACTGTGTTCTTTTATCCATGATTGTAGTTATAGATTTTCCTTGAAAGCCATTATTAAGTGGAGAAAACTACATTGAGAATTTAAAATGTAATTGGTGTTTTAATTTTATTAAACTTTAATGTTTAGAATAAATTAAGCAAAATTCTTGGAATAAAAAATTAAGTATTTAAGGTGGATGTAATTTGTAAATACAGCAAATATGTGTTCAGAAATCATGGACAGTAACAAGAACCATAATCACATTTATTATTTTTCTATTCTAGATATTTGAATGGTGGTATTTTCGCAAGTATGGAACATCATTCATTGAACAAGTGTCAGTAAGCCACTTGCGCCCCCTCCTGGGAGGGGTTGACAACAACTCCTCCAACAATTCTAACTCCAGTAATGGGGACTCAGATTCCAACAGGCAAAGTGTCTCAGGTATGGAAAGTCCTTCAGTTTGAACATTATTTGCTTATTTTTACTAAATTATTATGACTATAAGACAGTATAATGCTGTTATTTAAATATGAGACTCTAGAGAAAAATGCAGTTTATTTTCCCAAGGAGTTGACAGCATCTACCAGAGAAGTAGAATATAAGCATCACAGGGAAAGGAAATATTTATTTTGTTTAGCTTTACCTTTTCTCCAATTTGATTTAGCTAAGGATCATTCATTTAGGTCAGTGTTCCCAGCCTGGGTCTCCAGCCTCCTTGTCCCTAGTTTCTCAACCCTTACTGAATGTGTCCATTCTGTTCCATGCTAATTGCAGCTTATGCCTACCTAGATGTGATCACATCACTCCTTTACTTAAAAAGCTTCCTCAGTTCCCATTATACTGAAGAGAAAGCCCAGATTCCAGATTCCTTAGCATAGCATAAATAGCATAAGCTGCTTTCAACCTATCTTGCCAGCACTGGCTTCAGTCACAATCCTGTCCCTCTCATTTTCTTTCTTTCTTTTTTTTTTTTTTTAATTAATTTATTTATTTTGAAAGAGACAGAGAGAGATCATGAACAGGGGAAGGAGAGAGAGAGATGGAGAGAGAGAATCCCAAGCAGACTCCCCACTCTGAGCACGGAGCCCGACATGGGGTTTAACATGGGGCTTGATCTCACAACCATGAGATCGTGACCCAAGCCGTTATCAAGAGTCCGACCCTTAACCAGTTGAGCCACCTAGGTTCCCCTCCTTTTCATTTCTTGAACATGCCATGTTTTCTCATGACTCTTTCCCTGAAAGTCTATCTCCCCCTCTCACGTGTTTGCCTGACTTTTGTAACCCAGCTCCAGTGTTACCTCCTGGGAAGCCTTCTCTGATGGGTTGTACAATATCTCTCCACCTTCACTGACTTTAATATTTTTATCTTTAGCAAAATTTATCAAATTGCACTGTAATGTTTTAGCTTACTGCTTTATTGCAGATTTTTTAGCACTTTGCACAGTGTCTGCTCCATCACTGAAACTCAGTGAATGAACAAATCAGTACAATCAAGGCCTGTAATTTCTCCATTCATAAAAGAAGAAGGAAGAATAGGATTTCCTAGCTTGGTCTCTTTATTAGCTTAGTAAACATTTCCTAAGTCCCTAATATGAACCTGGCCTTGTATAGGTTCTGATGAGTATTAGTGATTTTTTAAAAAGCCAAAGTTCTTGCCTTCATGGAACTCTTGTCTACTGAAGGAGACACAGTGGTAAGTGCTCTGATTACATGAGGGGAGCATACAATGCTGTGGAGAAAAAAAGAGGGGTTCCTGACCAAAACTTGGAGAAGAAGTTTGCTTTTTGAAGGGGAGCGCACCGGTTCTGATACTTGAAGGATGAAGAGGAAGAAATTAAAGAACTAGATTAGATCTTTTTTTTTTTTTTTTCATTCTCCTAGAGTAACTCAGTCCACATTTCATAACTCAGTCCACCTGTCTAGCCAGGTGATAATCATCAAGGAACATTGCACATATATTTTATTTCTGGTGTTGATCCAGTGCCCTTTCAATAGACCCTTTGCCAGCCAGCTGTGAGTGGCAGTGGGCACCACCAGGTACACGTTGATTTCATCCTAAAGGGTACATGTGTGAGAGATGGCACCACTCAGGTAGCAAAATTGTCTGGGACTTTGTCAACGTACCTACTTTGTGAAAGAAACAGAAAGAGAGCTGAGCCAAGTGAAATGGTAACCACCACTGTAACAAGTGTGGTGCATTATTGTAATGGAGGGTCTTGGTCACTTAGTCATCATCACATCAACAGTTGTGGATAACTGCCGTCACTTTGCATCTGCCGTGAGAACCCAACAGATTAAATGTGCTCTGGTCTGATTAGAGTTACTATAATCTTGGAATGGTACAAAACGTAGCAAATTAACAGATTGGAAGTGGAAAGCAGCCTCGTTTGAAGCCATTCTTCATTGTGAATACATTTTTATTTTCGTTAAAATTCTCTCTCTCCCCAATTTAAGTTTCTTGGCATCATTTCTTAGAGTTTACACTCTTCTTATTGTCACTATTATTTTGCTGTCTCTCTGTGGATGCCTTGAAGTAAGCCTTATGTATTATATAAGTCTTGATGGTATTCTTAGTGCTTTCATAGCAGTTTTTAGAGGAAGCACCTAAGCCCTTTATAAAAACATATTGAAAAATAATAATCATGATGGGGCGCCTGAATGGCTCAGTCGGTTAAGTATCCGACTTCACCTCAGGTCATGATCTCACAGGTCGTGAGTTCGAGCCCCATGTCAGGCTCTCTGCTGACAGCTCAGCCTGGAGCTTGCTTTGAATTCTATGTCTCCATGTCTCTCTGTCCCTCCCCACTCACACTCTGCCTCTCTCTCTGTCTCAAAAATAAATAAACATTAAAAAACATTTTTTTTTAAATCATGGAAATTCTCAGTTTTATTTGTACTGTGTTTTTACATGGCTAAGATTGAGTTTTTGACTATTTTTAATTCAATTCCAGTAGTATTTGTTGAATATCTACCATGCATGCAATATTTCTATTCATTTCCTCTATAATAGATACAGCATTTATGATCTGATCTCATAACAATGTTTAAATAGTTACATTTAGAAAAGTGGAAATTACCTTGCCTAAGTATATTTGGGCTCTGTCTGCCCACTTCTTGACATTTTAGCTAAAATTTGGCTAACTCAGCTCAACAAACATGCATGCTGGTATGGAAGTATCAGATATAGTGGGACTGATGCTATTTTCCAATTCTCTTTTCCTCTGGTGATTTTTATTTTTGGATAAGAACAATATTATTAAAGTACATTGTCTGTGTTTATCTCTACTCTTAGTCACTTTCTATTTCATAGTCTTGTTTCAACTAAGTAAAGGAAAAAGAAAGTCCAAAACAGAGGGTAATCAATAATACATTTTCTTAAAATAAGGAATTTGTTTAGAAATCCTATCCCTTAATAATAACAAAATGGCTGTTGCCTTAATAATGAATAGGTGAATCTTTTGATTTTATTGGATCATGACAAGACAACTCTTTGCTGAATCTTACAAGAAATACAACATGGCTGACAAAGTCCCATGGATATTGGCAAAGGCAGTTTAATTGCTTATTTGAGAAAAATCATTGTAAAAGCTAAAAATAAACTGAAAATACCAGTGATAAACATTGGTCTATATTAAGACCCATAGTGTATATTATACACTGTGTATACGTACATACATACATACATACATAGTGTATGTAATATACATAGTGTATATTAAGACTCATAGCTCTTTTCTTAAAGAATCGTTTGTTTTGGTTAAAAGCTGAAAGACCTGGCCTACTTAAGAATGGTTTGGAGTGGGAGAGGTGGGGGGGAGAGGGTGAGAGGGTTATGATTGTTACAGGGCAGGCTATTTATATCTTATTTAACTTTGTATCTGTACAAAGTGGCCTGAGTGCATACTCTTTTAAAATTTGTAGTTATCTTTATCTGTGGGTCAGAGAAAAAATGTAGTTAATTATATAACTTCTTAATGTAGCCAAATTTTAGGTTGTTTGGCTTAGGTTAACATTTATGAATATTTCACTTATTTCTCTTTATTTGGGAGCTAACCTGCCATTTTTCTTGATAAACCCTGCTGATGTATTTCCCACATCACTATGTTTCTCACTGCCATTTCTTAATTCAACTCAGCTTATGATCTGATGATAGGTAAGGACTAAAAGTGTGGCTAACTTCTCCCTGTCTTAAGGGGTGTAGGTTCTCAGGGACTGGTAACACTTTGAATTTAGGTTCATGGGAACATCTGTTTGATAATTTGCCCTGTTCTTGAGTACGGTGCCATAAAGACAAAGGTTTGCAGCATTCACCTTCAAGATATTTAGAAAAATTCAAGGTGCTTCATCACATGAGAAGTATCCTTGCCAAAGTCAAGTTTAAATTCTCTGAGGGGCTTTAGTATCCTCTTGCACAGAGCTGTATCTTTAGACAAACTCTGGTTATAGTTGCTTGCCTTCCTGTCTAAAATCATTTCATTTTAATCTCATTTAATCTTAATATATATCTTATATATGTACATAATATGTATGTGTCATATATGTATCTTTTATGTAAAACTTTTTATAAGATTTTACTTGGAATTCTAAATTAAAATTCATTACATTGCTAGAGGCAGTTCAAGCAATGATTAAATCCAGGTAATAAATTAAAGAAAAACAATGGAGATGAAGAAACTCAGGTAGAGTGCAAAGATATCCTGAGACCTTCATAGATCTTCAAATTTTCATAACACCAGAGCAAATAATTCTCCTTATAGAAAGCCATATAATTCTAATAATAATACCTCCACTCTTAGTACCTACTTTCCACTTTACATTATTATCTCATTCAATCCTCACTATAGCCCTGTGAAGCAGATACTATTATTATCTCCATTTTATGGTTGAAGAAGCTGACATACAGGCAAGTTAAGTCATCTGCCCAAGGTCACAGGGCTGGCAACCTAGGTGGTCTCACTTCACAGTCCAAAGTCTCAAGCACTTAGCTAAAAAGTTCAGTCTAGATCCTCTGTGAGGTCTATAAAGTCAATACTAATGTAATTACTGAAGCATTAAAATAAATAAATTCATTAAAAACCTGTACTGTGGTACATGACATGATTTCAGAAGTGACATTAGCCAGATTTACTTAGAAAAATCTCAGTGGCAGGATTGCTGATGGTTGAGAGCTCAGGCTCTGGGGTCAGACAGATGTGGCCCTCATCTCAGCTCCATCACTTACAGTGTGTGACCTTGGGCAAGTTACTTAACCTTCCTTGGTATCTTAATTTGCATATGTGGGAATAACAACAGTATCTACTTCACAAAGTAGTTTGAGGAGTCAATGAGGTCATGTAGAAATAACAAGTCAGAGGACAGCCATCTGTCAGTGTCCTCCAGATGAACTGAATATGAATGATGAATTCCCCATCTATGAATATGATGGGGAAGATGGCTCAGTCTCTGGAGATATGGCTGTGGGTTCAGTGAGGTTTACTCCTTAGCTCAGTGACTCACTTTTATGCCCAGGCCTTTCAGTGCTTGCGTTTCAAATATATCCCTGGCAAAATCGCAAGTTGCCACATCCAGGACCTTTGGCATTGCTCTTTAGTCGTCTCAATTAGAGAAAACTCAGTTTGTCCTTGCCATGTCTATGCAGGTGTTGAAAATGATTCTCTTAGCCAACACTTATTATATCTTTTAAAATCTTTTGCCACTCAAATTTGTGTTGTAGTATAGATTTGATCTCTATTTGAATGGTGAAAATGCCTAAAACAGTTTTAGTCTGTGGTGAACATTTATTTAATAAATTTATTTCACAATTTCCACATTATTTGGTCAAGTTGATTGGCTTAAGTCAAAAATGATCAATGAGAAATGTATGAAGATACAATAAAGATTTAACCATTTTAGCAATACTTGAAGAAAATAGTACACTATCTTGAATAGAGCAGATCAATAAAAATGGCCTTGAAACTCATCATTATTTATACCATTTCTGATTCCATAGAATTAGAGACAATAACATATTTGTTGAGTTGAAAGCTACCTACATGTTACTTTGTGCCTTTATATTAATTTTTTCAAAATAATTATTTTAAAACTTATGAAAATAAAGCTTAATTACTTAAGCAAATGGCTATTGTTACTGTTAAGGATTAAGATTAGCCTGTGTGATGTAGAAAACTGGGTATTCATTTCTGAGACATAGAAGCTAATAAATACATGGCAGAATCATATATCAGCTTGGGATTAATCTTGATTGCCATAATACATCTGATTAAACTTTATCTAGAGCCTTTTTCTGTTGTACTTTGGAAACTAAAATGTTTAAAAGTATTGCTAAAAAGTGCTTAACATTTCCCCAGAGGAGTTTTCAAAACTGTTTTGCTAGTGGAAAATTTAATTGATGAAGTCATAGGATTTTTGAAATATGATGTTGCAGGGTAACAAGTCTGTTGCATGTAGTGGGTGGTTGTTGTACAGTCTGGACACCGGCCCTTAATCTAATTTGCTGTGAGCCATGGGGAAATTATATAGCTTTTCTATGCTTTACTCTTCTGTAAAAAGGGCCTACTACACACCGCTAACAATTGTAAGGAATATAGATGACTTGAGCTTTAAAACCTCTTAGAGAAAGGCTCAATGAAAATCAAGCTTATAGCTATGACAGAAGTTGTTGTTGCTACTGTTTATAATAATAATATTACCATCATTAGATTTTAGATTCTGGGAAGAGGTGGTAAGTTTTTAGTATAATAAATTTTCCTAGGCTATGAATTAATTTATATATTTGAAGGCCCTGGGAGTGGGGATTCTATATTTTTTTTTTTAACTTTTAGAAAATAAAGATTTTCAGAGTTAAATAAGTTGGATGTAGAGTAATATTTTCTTCTATGTGAATAAAAGCCCCATGACTTCAGAGCCTCTTGGTTTTTCTGAGAATTAAGTTCTCTTTTTCTTTGAGGACTGTGACAAAGGGAAAGTCTGTGATTCTGTCAGTACATTGTTGTTTCTGTAGAGCTTCTTCAGCTGTATGCCCTTTTTATTTTTCTCCCAAGGCCATAAGCTCCTCTTGTTCTGTAACCAAGGACCTGGCAAAGGGACTAGTGCATCATAGCCATTCTATTTATGTTTAAACCACACAGTCCTTTGAGTGATGGGGTGAGCACTCTACAGGGATAACTGAGTACAAAAGGCATGAAATAACGATCACTGAGATGGAAAGTTTTAGTAGGGAATTGTGAGAAGGAAGACTGAAGAAAAGATTGCAGCTTGATTTTAGAAGTCCTTGATGGCAGTAAGCATTACTTTCTGTGTTCTTTGTCTCCCACATAAAAACTTACATAACCATCCCATTATCACAAAGGGGGGGGGGGGGAATCTATTGTGCAGACTTGGGAATTAAACAAGTACTATTCCAATATATATTGCTTCTCTTCCTCCTGAACTGCATTCTTGCATGCATGCTGAGGTCGGAACATTTCTGTCTGCATTTGTGGATAGAGACTCTTCTGTACTGCTACAGATGGAACCATAGGGAGTAGGTTTATTGTACTGGGGCATATTTTTAATTGAGCTAGTAATATCAGCAAGTCCTTGATGGGGTCTCTGTCAACTTCTAGGGCTTCTAAAGGGCACTGAAATTGTTGATATTAATGGAGAATGCAACATTCCTTTTGGAGGTAAAATTTTAATTCTGATTTAAATAAAGAATTTATTTCCCAAAGACATGAATAAGATAAGAAACAGGACCTCATGTGGAAAAACCTTTATCCTCTGGATATCTGAGTTTAACTCTTGACTTAAATCTTCACATTCTAATACAGTTGGCATTTGCAGCTTTTGTCGGTATCACGAAACCATCAAGCAGTCTGATATTTATGGGGTATGTGCTCTATAGTGATTCTAGGCTGAGAGAGTTTTTGTAGTAGTGATAAGATTATGAAACAGAGTAGCGAAGAAGAAATTAACATAGCTATGACCTAATTCCAGGTAAAACTTTGACATGGTTCATATTTGACCTCTAGATCGCATATTTCTTTAAAAAATTATACCTGTTTTGCACCAATTTGAAGGAGACATAGCTAATGAAGGATATAACTAATGAAGACATTTCTTAGGTAGTTCTGTATCACATATTTTTTCTCGAAATATTTTACATCTGTTAGTTACTTAGATCCTCATTTCTAAGTTTCAGGGATACTTGAAGAAGCAATAGACCGTATGTATGACACTTAATGTCAACAGTGACCCTTTAAGAAGTTCAGTTCTGGAATAGAATCCATAAAAACATTTCAAAATGTTTGTAGCACCCCCTGCTGGCTATATTGTGGCACTTCCTAAACGAAGATTGCATCTTTAGTTTTGCTCAAAAATACTTTAGGTACATACACCATGTCTCTTTGCAGTTAATTTTATTTAGAAATAATTTCATTTGTATCCAATATATAATAGTGTTGAAATTTTAACTGAAGGTATTTTGGTTTAAAATTTTTCAAATGAGTATTTGAACAATGCCAGTATAATAATGTATTCAGTGGAGAACAATTATTTGCCCGTAACCTTTTTACTAATATTTCAGATGAAATTCAGTGGGGGAGAGGCATCTCCCCAAATGTTCCTGTTTTATTGCAAAAAATGTCACCATGGGCAACCTCTGTACTATCTGTGTACATGTTTGTTATATGCTAAATACAAACCTTGCAATATTCATGAAGCTTTAATTGGACCGCTTTGGATCTTGAAAGACATCCTTTGAGGAAAGGGTGGGAGTGATGAGGACCTAAAAGTTAAAATAGCCTTAAGGGCAGAGATCGTATCATGGTTGTTTGGCTCACCCGTGTGATTCTGTGATTTGAGCCATAATCTGGAGTTCATTAGTGACCCCTCCCAGGGTCTTTACATCTGTAAGAAAAGTAATTATTTAAGAAAAGCATAATTTTCTAGTTAGTGCCATATGAAGTGACAGCTACAGAATTTCAGTTTCTCAGGAACAAAATTCAAAGATGCTGAATTAGTTGAACAAAGATCATTTCCTAAATGGTGAGTTAAGCTAAGTGTCAGAAAATTTAGGGCTATAGTTTATAAACATTGTGCAAATTTTAGGCGGGCTCCAGCCCTAATTTAAAGATATATTTATCTTCTTTAAATAAAAACATATCTTCCTGTTATGTGTACACCCTTCATTCACTATTTTAACAAAAATATATTGAGATTAGACACAGTGTTGCTATAGTGTTTTATCTTCTTCATTTTCATGCTGTATTGTAATAGATGGTTTACTTGTTTGTTTTTCCCATTGAGTGCTCAATGCTCATTGGATGGATGGATGGATAGATGGATGAGTGAGTGGGTGTGGAAGGATGGATGTTGCATATAACAGGCATGAGGATAGAATCTTAATGAATCACCCTTTAATGCTCTTTTGATTTCTGCAATAATTGCTCACTTTTGTGTGTCCATGTCTTTGGGTGTGTTTTTTGGCCGATTACGCACACAGAGATGTTTTAAGTACTCTTAACTTATTTTATTTTCTAATAAAACATTATTCACTCAAAGAAATGTAGTATTCTGAATCAGTAGAAAGTCTTAATCATAGGCTGTTTAAAAAGAATTATAGCTTATTAGTCACACACTTATAAGACAGTCTTAAAAACTAATGATTGAACCAAGTCCTGTGGTTCTAAATTTCTGTGGTTTTTGTGGAAGAAAGATGTATAATCTATTAGTATATGCTAGAATTCTAATATTACTATAATGATTAATCCATGTATCTGTATAAGTAAACAGTGTTATTGCTTTAAAACAATTTATTTTCATAGCATTTCTCTCTAAAATAATAACTTTATTCGTTTTCTTATCTCTGTTTTATGGCAGTGTAAAAAGTAATCTGGTGCTTTGTCACAAAATCAGTATTAACATAGACCCTAATTAAATAACTCCATATTATACTCTAGAGCTTAAGTTTAGCTTAAAAGTATACCTTGTACCTGTAATTTCAGAAGTAAATTTATAGAATCTGTGTAGACCTTGTGAAATGACTATTAAAGTTATGAACTAGCTGATGTTGGCATATACCTTGATTTAGCAAATGAGGAAACTTTGGCCCAGAGAGATTAGGGAGAACTTTTCCAAAGTCCTGGTTCCTGAGCTTTGTTTCCTGATCAACCACTCAGAGTTTTTCCACGTTACTTCCCATGTAGAGGATGGAGAATAAAATTATCTTATCAAATGGCCAGGAAGGGTGTTTTGCTGAATTAATTAGCTTGTAGTGTGGCTGGACTCTGTGTAACATTTTCATATTTCTCTTTGTTGCAGAATGCAAAGTATGGCGAAATCCACTGAATTTATTTAGGGGCGCTGAATATAATCGGTAAGTGTTTTGACAGCTTGGGAAACAAATGGGTCTAGTTCAGAGAGTAAAGACAGCAGCAAATGTTTTTGCTGGTTCATTTAGGGGTCATTGTAACAGTCTGTGTAGTGCTTCTATTTTTTGATACAATCCTCAAATGTTTTGATTTTTCTGTTTTATAGTTATTTGGGGATTAGAATTGGGATGATGTACAAAAATGTGTAGTTTTTAGAAATTTTCTATTACACTTATTATTTTCATTATGCATTATACAATCAAAATATTTTGAAGCTTACCTAGAGCATGGTTATAAAGATGTCATAGAAATTTTGTTGGAATTTAATTTTGCAAAGTAATTAGGCATATCAGAATTTTCATGGCTTTTGGGAAATGCCTATTCATAAGAGTAATGAGGGAAAGTTTTCATTAGCTAGTGCTAGTAAAATTTTTAGAGAAAAATATAGGGGAAAATGTTTACTTGTTTCCTGCTGATAGACCTCCTAAAGGGAGAACAGGATGATTAAAAAAACTTTTTTTCATTCATTGGCAAAACTGTTTTGTACCCAGTTAATGTTTTATATTCAGTTTCCTATGCAGCTTAATATTTTGTAGGTCTTGCTTTCCAAGTGTCTGACCATCTATTTCCCCTTTACCAGGTACACTTGGGTGACAGGACGAGAGCCTCTGACTTACTATGACATGAATCTCTCTGCCCAGGACCACCAGACGTTCTTTACTTGTGACTCAGACCACCTGCGTCCTGCAGATGCAAGTATGGACACTCCTTTAGATAGTTGCTGAGTGGGAGGGCTTTTGATTTAAGTACTAAGGTTATTGCTTTTAGAATATCTGCTCTACACCCCCCCGCCAGTGAATAAATTATTAAATTGGAGATTGGCTGGCAGAACCCAGAATTCTGGTACTTAATTAAAGGATTTATCATGATGAAGTATCAATGTAGAAATGAGTCTTCTTGTTATGATTTAAAATACTATTTAAAAAATATATAGTAACATTGGATTTACATATTTCTTTTTTTATTTTTTAAATATTAAATATAATTTGTTGTCAGATTGGTTTCCATGCAACACCCAGTGCTCATCCCTAAATGCTCTCTTCAGTGCCCATAAATCTGATACGAAGCTAATTAAATCCTTGATTGAGGTAGAATGAAGGGTCATGTCTCTTCGATGATATTGTAGTTAGAAATTAAGATTTAGTGAATCCAAATGATAAATGAATATATTGTAGTGATTTGTATGCCTATTTATAGGTTCACTAGCAGTGAATGGGGTCATGGCCTTAGCTATTAGAATCCATATTTGTTTATCAACCTGGAAAGGGCTTTGTTTGGCATGCATTTCACTTGGTTTGAGATCTAAATAATCCTACTGACATTTTTTATATTGCCAAACTTAAATAGGTGAAAAAAAAATCTTTAAAAAGAGGAATGTGTACATGCACCTGAAAAGCTAACTTCAAAGATACATATTGATAAAACAAGTATGGAGATTGTTGTTCTTTTTAAAAAGGTACTGTTTATCGTGGTAGAATATCATAGTCCAATAAATAGACCAGGCATTGAGCTTTGCACAGTATATACACAAACTGCTCTGGTATCTAGAAACTGTGTTTGCAGCAAACTTTGGGAACAGATACACATATTAAGCAAAAGACCAAACCACTTTTTTTTCTGATCCAACTCATAATTCTTCATACGGTTTTACAGAGTCCTAATACCCAGAGCCTATAGTGTTTGGGAAAATGAACAATAGAACTTATGTTGTGCCTAAGTAGAAGGAAGAGATTAGTAACAATCTCATATAAAAATGTGTAAAATATGTTTCTTAACGACAAATGACATTAATGAACAAAAGAAATATTAAATCTCTTTTAGAATGTCTTTTCCTTTCTTGATTAAGGGACCTTAACCAGTGCGGTGAGCATAGCATAACGTGTAGACTTGGCAAATTGTTGTTATCCACTTGAAACTACTGTAACATTGCGTGTCAACTAATACTTCAGTAAAAAAAAAGAAATCTTAATCAAGATTAAACCTCTAAGATTATAGACCATGGGTTAATCTATAAGATTTAGACCTGTAGTATTAAGAGCACAAGAAAGGTTTGCTATCATCGAAGGAAGGAGAATGGAATAGCACATTAGAGTGTATTTGTGTGATTTTGGAGATTTGGGCTCACCTCCTTAGTAAGTGAAATATCCTCTTGTATTCAAGCTGAAAGCTATTAATTTAACTATTGTCCTGTGGTGAGTCTTCTAATTATGTGTGTTGATGGACATGCTTTTTTCCTCTTTTTGTAAAACAGTAATGCAGAAAGCCTGGAGAGAGAGAAACCCCCAAGCTAGGATTTCTGCAGCTCATGAAGCCTTAGAGATAAATGAGTAAGTGGGGGACAAATCTTGCTTTTAAAAAGGAAATTTCATCCTTTGCTGAATGTATTCAGTTTTCATTATTGGTATACTTATATTAAATTATGCATTTGAACTTGAGGATTGTTTTAGGGGTTATTAATTTGTAAAATTTTTTTTTTTTGCGAAGGACATCCATGTGATGGTGGTCTTAGTCATTTTAGAGAGCAATTCAGTGGCTTTGCTATGACCCTAACTTAAATAGCTTCCAAGGGCTATTTAGCCCTTCAAGGACTATCTGTGGGATATTGCAAGGACATAAAATAAAAACAGTTCTTTACATAACTATAACATGGGGAAATTTTTTCAGATGTAGAATGCTCATCTGTTCCATCACATTTTTTAGGTAGATCTTCTGCTTGTGGGGAAAAGATAACAAAAACATAAGGTGAAAAAATTACACTTTTGAAGTATTTCAAGATCAAGACAAAGATAAGAGGAAATGCTGTCATTAGTGTTGTTAAACATTCTGTGGGTTACCAAGGAAGGCTGGGAAATATTCTGGAGATCTTAGAAAATGAGAAAGATTCTTAAAATTGAAGTCATAAAATCTCAGGGTTGGCAGAGACCTTAAAGGTCATTTAGCTCAACCACCCATCTGGTGCTTGAATCACCTCGACATTCTCCCTGCCAAGTGGTCATTGTTAAACTATTTTATGATTTTTTTTGAAGAAAGTTACAGATTCTTCTTTGGAGGTCTTAGAAAAAAGATTCACTTGAGAATTGGAAATCCTGCCATTGTAACCTGTTGATCTGTTTGGTTTCTGATTCTGCCATACAACATATTTATTTTCCAGTTTCTTGTCATCTACAAATTGGATATGCCTGCCTTCTGTGTGTCATCCATGTTTCTGATAGAAATGTCAGGCTCAGGGGTGGAACCTTGTGACATGGCATATAGAAACTGTCCTTCAGGTTCATGTCTTCATGAGTCATCATCCTTTGGTATCAGTCAACCAATTAACTAGGCCACCCAGTTAACACTGTGATTCAGCTCACGTTTCTGCATTTTGATCTTAAAAGTACCAGTTGTAGCTATGAATCTTTAATGTATAGTAAATCCTTTAAAGTAAATTAAGGTAGCACAACCTGATTTAGTTGTTCTTAGCGGATTTAAGTGTTCACCACTTTCTTTTAAAAATGCTTGGAGACCATCCCTTTAATAATCCATTAGAATCTCTTTCCAAATCACTCTTCTGTAGTTTGGGAAGTCTGCCTTCTTCCCCTGTTGAACATTTTTACTACATTTGTCATCTCATCTTCTAGCACCTGTCCATTCTTTGTGATTCCTTAACTATTCACAGAGAGCACTTCCATGGCCTGACTACAGGGTCTGTTGGCTTCCTGGGATTTACCCATCCCAGTACAGTAATTCACTTAGAATTGATCAGTTATTTGCTATCTTACGTCTTTTTTACCCCCATGAGAGTTTAATTTCTTCTCCCCTTTTCAGCCTGACAATCATGCTCCTTGATGGAGAAGCCAGGAACAAAATAGAAGTCAGAGAGTTTTGCATTCTCTTTATTATCTGCTGCTACTAACTATAAACTTTTCTTGTTTTGATGTGGTTGTTGTGTTGTTTGTCTTTTTTGCTTATTTATTTTTGCGATGGTTTTAGAGAAATGGGGGTGGTAATAGGGTTTTAAACATAATTTTAAAACAGGGAATAGATGGTTGTCTTTAGCATTTTGTTTTGTCTTTATTTTGCTTTGCAAGCTTCAGGTAATTTTTGGAGTTTTAGCTCTCCTGACATTATTCTTATAATTTCATTCCACTCTCTTGTAGTCCTTCATTACATGCCCTCTTTCCATCTTTTTTACATGTCCTTTAAACATCTGACCTTGTGAGAGATCTCTGTGCAGCCATATTTATTACTTAATTGTCACCTCTCTTTTCTTCCTGAGAAGTTCATTTGTGACTACGGTTACAGGTGGACATTTGGAAGCTGCCCAACCCTCTTAAACCATTTTTTTCCTTCGGAGTCTCATGCCATTGAATCATATCTCTTTTCTTTGAAGTTTTTGAAGTCCACCTTACCCTCTTTGATTACCCGTAAACTCCAAAATGACATAGTAACTCTCTCTGAATGTTCCTATCAATTTTCATTTCACCAACTATTTTTTTCTTCTTGGTCAGAATTAGGTCCAGAGTTGAAGTTCCCCTAATTGCTTCCTCTACCATCTGGGAGATAAAATTGTTACCAAAGTAAGTCAAGAACCTGTCGGGTGCCCTACTTCTAACCAAACGAGACTTCTTCTAGCAGATATCTGGATGGTTGACACCCCCATCACCATACTTTCTTGCTTCTGTATGTGTATTGTGTTGTGACAAGGATGCATCATCGATATCTTCCATTGAGCTGAGCAGTCGTTCTGTACTCCCCAACCATTAGCACTTCTATTGCTCTTTCTCCTTCACTCACAAGCTCTTAGCATGTTTCTACCCCAGACTCATGACTTTCCACATAGATACATGTTTTCTTGGCTAGTAGTGCTACTCTGCCTCTCCTAAGAATACTATTTGAAATGTATATAAAGCAAGCAACTTGCCCCAACCTATCTTGAATTCCCAGCCCACCAACTATAACCTTAGAGCTAACTCCTCTGATACTATATCTACCACTCAGTATTATAATCTCAGTTTTCACTTCATTACCCTTGACCCATATTTATATGTCAGCATCTGAAGCCTTAAGTGTTGCTTCCTGATGCCTATCCCCCTATCCCCGTTATTTTCTGTAGTGAATCACTGGGCAGTTTCAGGATCATTATTGTTCTTTCCAAGTCATGTATCGGCTGCCCTCCATAGTAATTGGTTTTTACAGCATTTTTCTGGGCATTTTTCTCCCTCGTACACCACATTCTGCCTAAAGCCCCATTGATTAGTCCTGCATGAAATTAAAGGGATTGGCTAAAGAATTTATAAGACCCCTCCTCAAGGCTAAGATTAACCAGTAACCCCAAACCTCCCATTAGCTGTAAGTTCAGCCTCCTTTTCCTAGCTGGCTGTTGCAGTTTATGAATGGTAAAAGCAACATTTGGTTTCACTTTCTGTTTATTTTCTCTCCTGTGGTCTGATGGAGGTTCTGATAAGTAGGGAAATGACCACAAGAGGGGCAGTGGAGATGAAGGAAAACAATGGGATCGGTGCAGATCGGGATCTGTACGGTCTGCTCTGGCGTCACCATTTCCTAATTACATTCCCTTTCTTTGGCAGTTGGGTTGTTCTTACATGATTGGGAAGGTTTAAATTTCCAAGAGTTCCCGTGTTTGTTAGTTAACTGCTTATCCTTTCTGGCTTCCTAGCTTAGAGGTTGTTGAAAGGATTAAATGAGACGATATATGTTAAGTGCCTGGTACAGTGCTTAATGTATACTAAGCAACAGGTGGTAGCTATTATTGCTAAAGGCGTGAGATTTAACTCTTGTTCACTACTGAGGCTGACTCAGATTTTGAGCTCTTCAGAAACAACACTACCTGTAGGTTCTTCCAGTGTTCTCTAGCAGAACATCAGTGCTAACTGTAATGAGATGTTGAAGCGCTGTTGTCTTAATCAGTAATTTATCTGATTTAATGAATTTCTCATTCTGAAGAAACCCTTATATTAAAGAGAGTCAGTGTTTAGTAAATAGCAGTAAACTTATATATAGGATCTCTAACTTTGAGAGCTGGAAGGAGATATTTCACAATAGCTAGTATCATTGCCACTGTCAGTTGACGTTGATTATGTACCACATGCTGGCTACTGTACTGAGCACTTTACATGCATCACCTTACTTAACCTTCACAACAACAGTGTGAACAAATAGATTCCATGTTGTTCTCCATCAGGGAGGCAGAGTAATAACTTGCCCAAAGTGACATACTAATAAGGGGCAGAGTCCATACGTGAGCCCCAAGCTCCTAACACTACACATCCTACCTTTCAAGCTAAAATACAGACATTTCTTTTGTGCCATTATTTTGTGTCAACAACTACAGACCAGGGGTGCATGAACCAGTTGGCCACTCTGCATGTTTTTGGCATAACTCCTTGCCCTTCTGCATGTACTCCTACAGCTATTCCAGTGTCCTTGGATTTGTAATTGATGGTGGCTATTATCTGAATGGACAGGTGTGCAACTGCTTATATTCTCTTGGCTGAAGAGGAAGCAACAACCATTGCTGAAGCAGAAAAGCTGTTTAAGCAGGCCCTGAAGGCTGGAGATGGCTGTTACCGGCGTTCTCAGCAGCTACAGCATCACGGATCCCAGTATGAAGCCCAACATAGTAAGGTTTTCTCCAGGTTGACATGATGGGAGATCAGAACTGTAACACGATTAATCGGAACAAACTTTCAGGCCAGTTCAAAACAGGATTCTCATAGATGAGAATAAATATTAATTTTTCCCTTCTTAAAAAAAAATTTTTTTAATGTTAATTTAGTTTTTAGACAGAGCATGAGCAAGAGAGGGGCAGAGAGAGAGGGAGACACTGAATCCAAAGCAGGCTCCCAGCTCTAAGCTGTCAGCACAGAGCCTGATGCGGGGCTCAGAACCCACAAACTGAGATCATGACCTGAGCTGAAGTTGGACGCTTAACCGACTGAGCGACCCAGGTGCCCCTTTGCCTTTCTTCTTAATAATTTTTTTCCTTTCCATAAGAGCACAGTACATAATTATAGCTTTATTGCTGTTCACTTAATGTTCAGATTCTCTTTCCTGCTCTTGAGATTCTTAACTCCAGAAATAAATGGTAATAACCTTTAATGATAACTTTCTCCCAAGAATTCTTATGTATTTCTCTGTTTATTAGTTATTTCTCTGCCCCATAACTTAAGTTCTAGTTGGGAAACAGGACTTAAATTCATGTTAACGTAATCAAAGGTTTTCTCTTAGGAGTCTTCTACAGCATGGGTTGAAATAGGACAACTAAGAGTATCACTGTTATTGGTGATTATCTCAGTATTTAGCCCTTTGGTATTGGCTTCCGGAGAGAAAAAGCCATGGGTTCATAATTATTTCTCTTTCTTATATTAGAAATAGTGGCTGCTTTTGTTTAAGATAACTCTTTAAAATGAGACCTTTTACTTTAGTACACTAAACAGAGGGTCAGTGATATTTTGGGGGGATGGTATAAAAAAACAAGACAACAAAATTGTTTCTGGAATTCCTTGAGCCACTTGACTTGTCAGTTTGTTGGTTGTTTAAGTAGAAATGTAGCAATCCTTTCATTGTCCATTCAGACTTCAGGTTGTTTCATTAAGGTGGAGTTTCTCCCTCCTGCATCTTGGGGAGTAGGATTGCATTGCCTTCATATTTGAGATTATAAAATTAAATTTTAGTGCTAAACTTGTATTTGACACAGAGACTGAGTGCATTAGTCTTTATAACTAAGTTACAGCGAGATCTTTGATTTTTGTGTGTATACATGAGTATGTCCACACAACACAATAATACACAGGTTTTTTTTTTGTATTCAGTAAGTATATTTATTTATAAGCAGTAGGTATATATGTTAATCAAGTTTCTAATCACATCTGTATCTTGCTTTTTAAAAAATTTATAAGAATGAATTTTGAAGGCATGTGTATAGTAATGTCTATTTTCTGAACTAAATGAGAATTAACACATAACATTACATAAACTGTAATATAACTTAAGAAATTTTCTTTATTCCTTTTTTTCTGTAAATTAAATCCTTTCAACCTGTTGCCTACATCTATCCAAAAAATATAATCACATCTTTAAAATAATTTGTAGGCACTTGGCAAATTTTCAGCACACATCTTGTTCTCATTGTTTTAAAACTTGAAATGTTAGGACTTTGGTCTTAACATCTTTTAATAGCTGCATATTATACATGTACTTAATCTATAACAGGTGTGTCATATTTTTCTAAAACATGGTAATTTTATTGAGGATTAAGTGAATGCATGTTCTCACTGGTTCAGAAACATATCCAAAAAGACATATAATTAAAAGATTAAGATGAGAAGTTGTTAATGTACTTTTTAGTGCCATTTTAGTGACTATTATTGTAACTAGTTAGCTTGTCAATGCTTTCTGTAACACTAGGGTAGTTTTTCATTTTGTTACATACTCTATTGTCATATCTGGAATGTGTTATATTGCCATCTAAAATAGACTGCTTTGGGGACCTGGAGATGATTATGATGTCACTAGTATTAGGGAAAGAATAATATAAAACAGAAGTTCAAGATGAGGCTTCTCCAGACTTAATGTCAAGCAGGAAAAAAAAAAAAGTTGATCAAGATGCAACCTGAGATTCACCTCTTTGCATGTTCAGCAAAAGCATGCAAACTGAAGAATATGGAATGCTTGCTTGTAAACCACATTCAATATGGGTATGCTCATTTCCCCAGCACTTTGTGGCAGATGATTTTATTTATCAAATATTCAACATCCTAACTCAAAAGTATGGATTAGGTAATCAGTCACATGATTTGACCTTTGGAAGTCTAAGTGCTTTGACTACACTGTATGCGTTTTACTATTAGCAAACTTGTCAGTGCTCCTGGCAGTAAGAAAAAGCCAAAGGAGCACTCTGTTCTCTCTGAGGTTTTCCTTTAAGGGTATGGCAAAGGAGCCTCTGTATTTTTTTCTCGCTGCTCAGCTGAAAGCTCTTGTATTTTAAAATTTTGGTGTTTCATATTTCCTTTTTCAGGACGAGATACCAACGTCTTGGTCTACATCAAAAGAAGGCTAGCAATGTGTGCCAGAAGACTCGGGAGGACCAGGGAAGCAGTGAAAATGATGAGAGATGTGAGTTTAAATTTGTGTTTGAACAGTAGCAATGTACCTGACTTAAAGAAGGAGGAGCCACCTGAATGGCCAGAGGAGCCACTGCATGGCTGCAGAGAGCAGCAGTGATGGCGCGGTGGTCCCATGATTGCTGGAGCCAGCCAGTCTGGGAGTTGGCTCTGGCTCCCAGTGTATTAGGTGAATGATCTTGGGCCAGTGAGTCTACTGCTGTGTGCCTGTTTCCTCATCTGTGAAACGGGGATAGATAACAAGAACTTTAACAATACTAATAACAAAAAAAAATTACTACTAAGGATTATTGTGAAGATTAAGTGAGATAAAACATGCAAAGCTTTCAGTAGAGTGACTGGCATCTTAAGGAAATTTCAGTAGGTGAGCTTATTATTAAACCTGTGGAGCTGTAGCCAGAAACCAAGAATGAGATCAGTTAGTTTAGCTAACTGACTTTTTTTGTGTGTGTGGACAGTCAGGAAGATTTGAAAAACTATGGGTCTAATTAATTGCTACCCTCGAATTTAATAATATTATGATCTAATCTGATTGTAGTCATTTCAAGCATTCTCCTAGATTCTTGCATCAGGATATTTTATCACTAGTAGTCAACATAACAAAAGAGGAAGTGAGAGTTTTAAAACAAGAGAGAATCAAGACAGACTATTAATATGTAACTTTAAATCAAAACAGTAGTTTTAAGGGAAATCAGTAGAGGAACTTTTACTTCCACATTTTTTTTTTAATTAAGAAATACTTTTTCATAAAGAAGCTGACACCAATGTGAATTGTATTTATAAACCATTTTTTTTAAAAACAATTTCAGAAAACCTTTGCCAACACTTCATGTATATACTGTCTTCCTGAATCAAGAGACATAGGTAACTGCCCATTATAAAAATGGAAGAACCAAGGGGCAAGATTAAAGTGACATCTTGCCTGGTTCTCAGCTTTCGGGTTTGGGAACAGGACTGTGTAAACCTCTAGTGAGCCACTTCTCACTTTATCTTTGGAAGGGCGGTTATTCATACAAATTCCCAGTTACTCTGTTATTCAGGGCCTGCACTCCATCCAGGCCCACCCCTAATTATTTCTGCAAGTTACAGCCTAATGTAAAGGTGAGATCCGTGTTTGGGTCCGACTACTCAATTAAACAGTGGTATAGCTCCCAGATCTGAGGAGAGGACAAAAGGAGGGGGATTCCAAGATAATTCTATTTGACTCAAGATAATACATGCTCTGTGGGCAAAGCCACTTAAAGGGGATGTCCCAGGATTAAATTCTTTTGGTTGAGGGGAGAATTTAAAGAATGTTTATCATACAGTGTAAGTGCTAATTTTTACAAAAGGAAAGTTCTGTAGAGACATGAACTTGCTCTCTAAGCTTTTTAACTTGCAGAAATTCCATCTTTTGATACAGTGAAGAAACTCTGCCAGTCCCTTTGTCTCTGAAAGAGCTGAGAATTTTATGAAGGGTGGGATATTTATCTTAAACTGGCCCAGCCACATTCAGCCTTTAACAAGGTGTTTTAAATTTATTGCCTTTCTTTAACCTTAGGTAGGCCGGAACAGGCATGTATGGAGGAGCAGATTTGGGTGATTTTCTTTATTATGTGCTTAAGCAACTTCATAGGAAAAACAAACAGGGGGGTAATTTCAATTCCATTTTTTTCTGTCAGTTTCATTCTGATTATCATCAGTTTTAGTATATGTGTATACAGTTTCGTATGATTGAAACCAATACATTCATGCTATGGTTTGACTTTTGCTTAACTTTATTTCATATTTACAATTCCATTTATTGACTTAGTCCAAATGTAGATCTTGGGGGAAAATCTGGAATGCAGTGGAATGAATGCTGGGCAGAGAGTAAGAAAACCTAGATGTGAATGTCAGCTTTGCTCTTCACTAGCTCTGTGACCCAGGGCAACTTTCTTTATGGGCTTTTCATTTGTCTTCTGTAAATTGTGGTTAGTGATTCTTACCTAAAAGGGTAATTGATGGAGCACTGGGGAGAATGAAATAAGATAATATAAAAACACCTGGCACATGGTAGACACGCTCACATTTTTTCCCCCATTTTTTCTCTATTATGCAAGTATGATATTATTTGCTTGACCATTCCCCTGATGGACATTTTGAGACATTTCTGATTTTTTTTTTTCTTGAATGAATCAGTAAGTCAAGCAATCTTTCCTATTACATATGTACACACACACACACACACACACACACACACACAGATATATATGTGTGTGTATCTGAATGTGTACATGTGTTTCTTGGGTTACTTTCCTTAAAGAATTCTGTTTTATTATTGGAATACCAATACGGTTACCTTTTGACTGTGTATATAGAGCCTCTAGTAGATATGGGCCCTACTCTTGTAACAGTCCTGTGAGGGACACTGTCAGACATTGTGGAGATGTGTTTTGAAGAGAAATATTCGTAGTGTTCTTTCCTTCACAAACTCCTGGCACCCAAATGGAGGATGGAGGTTGAGGACCCCTGTGTTTGTTAAAGCTGCAGCTGGCCTCAGCCTTGTGGGAACAGTTGATGGTCAGACCTGACTCCTCTCAGGTCAGGGTCATATATAAATGCGAACCTCACTGAAGGGTTTACTCCTTTAACAACATGCACATAAACCATCTTGCTGCAAAAGTTCCTCTGATAAAACAGCACACTGGATTCTAGGCAGCCTGCTGATAAAACACTGAGGCAGGAGGATCTAATTTCTTACGAATACACAGCAGTCCTACCCCATATATGTTGGTCGAAACTTTCTTAGAGCAGATTTTAAAATGGAAATAGAAATGGTAGAGTCAGAATGCTTTCCATGTAGAAAGTAGACACTTTAAAACAATTCTCTGGAAACCCCTTAAAGGAAGGAAAAACTGTTAATTGATGAGATAGCCTAAAAAAAGAATGGGAATTCCGGGAAGGACAACTGTGGATGATTATGGATCTAGTAAAATACTGATACTATAAGTGAAATATTGATGAGGTACGAACACCTAAGCTCCTTAATGTGAAGATTCTTGGCTTCTCATTTAAAAAGCAACAAATCAATTATTTTGAATTCCTAGGATATCGTCTCAAAAAACTCACTTTAATTAGCTTCCTTTTATAGTCAAGAATATGGAAACATCTTATTGAAGGAATGCTTTGCAGTGGGTAGAACTAAGAAAGCATGCTGACTTTTGAATTTTACTATATGGTATTATTTATCCAAAATGAAAAGGGTTACATTTTCTGCTTTCTTAAATTTAAAGAAAAGCCTTTTTGCTTGTTCTTATTTTAAAATTGCTTCTCTAACATCTGATATAGGACACAGTTTTTTCTTTTTAACTTTTACCATTTAGTTAACCTCAAGGATTTTTTTTTTTTCCTAGCTTTTCCTGGCCCTATTTGAGTAGATTTGGAATAGAAGTCATAAGGCTAACTGTTTGGTTTGGCCCTGTAGCCATACCCGGTCAGAACTGTTGTAGGTGAACTGGTATGGATGGGATTCCTTGCCCATATGAAAGAACCCAAGAGATCCTCTTGCCCCAGGTCATTTGGTCTAGACTCGAGTCTCTCAGTCTCAGTACAGTTGGCATTTTGGGCCATGTAAGTCTTTGTAGTGGGTGGCCTATGCATTGTAGGATACTTAATAGCATCCCTGCCCTCTACCCACAGATACCAGTAGCAACCTGTCCCTTTGTTGCTCCCCAGTGTGACAACCAAAAATGTTTCTAGATATCTCCTGGGGGACAAAATCATTCCTCACTAAAAACCATTGACCTGAAGAATCCTAAAGAGAGTAGATCTGTTTTGGGGTAGACATTGAATATTTATTCGGTCTTGTTAGTAGTCTGAGCTTCCACTACTGTGAGCACAGTGCTCTGTGGCATCCCCAGAGTTGATCAGTTTCTTGGACCAAGCTGATTTGGGAGGTTGTTTGTCTTATATGGGATTCCCTGAAGAGATACCCTGGGACATGAAGACTAAATGAACTTGAAGGTTTTGGTGGGGTCTTGGTTGGAGTGATGAGAAAGAGAGGAGAATGTGAAGTCCTGATGTGGGGCAGTGGTCTTCCTTGGTCCTTGTGCATGCTTCCAGATCACTGTCTGCCTCTCTGCCCTAAAACCTAGAGCTCCTTTGAAAGTTGACCATATGCTCGCAGACTTTATCACCTGTTTCCCCTCTTTTTTGTAGTTTTCTGCAGATCTTCACATCATTCTCCCTCATTCTAGTTTCACTCTTTCTCTCTGAACACTACCTCTTTCAATATCCTGGTCTTTCTCTTGACACAGGTCATCACAACTTCCTTGAAACATTTTATTTACTTGATTTTAGGAGACCATGCTTTCTTAGTTCTAAAATGTCACAGTCTGTAAGAAAGTATCACAAGCTAAGTGGCTTAAACAACAGAAATGTATTCTGTTACAGTTGTGGAGAGCAGAAGTCTGAAATCCAGGTGTGGGTAGGGCCATACTCCCTCTGAAGGCTCTAGGAAAGAGTTCTTTCTTGCTGGCCATCACTCCAATCTCTGCCTCTGCCTTCACGTGACATTCTTTCTCCCTGTGTATGTCTTTGCAGTCAAATTTCCATCTTTTTGTAAAGGACACCAATCATGTTGGATTTAGAACTGGATTTATGACCTCATCTTAACTTGATTACATCCACAAAGACCCGATTTCCGAAACATTCACAGGAGTCAGGGGTTAGGACTTCAGAATTTCTTTTTGGAGGACATTGTTCAATCCACAATACCCAGTCATCTGTAAAAGCAAAATATAGGTACAGTAATCTGTGTATACTTTTATTCTCCCTAAAAATGGGGTACATACTGGGAAATGTGGATATCAAAGAAAAAAATCTACCCACCTAAAATTTGAGCTTTAAACAAAGCTGTGACTTGTTTATTTCCTGGGGAAGTGGTAACATTTGTTTTTAAATTAATGTAGATTAAAATGAGTTCTATTTAGAAAATTATTGTAGTTGTTCATCCCTTTTAGGTCATTAGAG